CAGCTGTGTACACAATTTCCCTGACAGTAGTACACTTTCTCCTTTCTGTTCCCAACCTTTGTTCTATTATTTTCAAATCCTTCTACCCGTATTTTAAGCAACTCATACTACATTGCTAAAACTATTGATACAGTCAGTTTTCTATAAAGAAAGAGTAATACTTATATATTTACCCTGTGGCTGCCATTCATGACTCTTCTTGTCTATGGTCAGACTCAGGGTCCCATCTGGTACTGCATCCTCCCAGTGGAAACACGTCTTTACAGTCATTTCCTGTGGTGCAGGTCTGCTGGTGGCCAGCTCCGCCGGTAGCTGTTGCATGTCCAAAGAATCATTTGTTTTGCTTTAATACTGAAAGATATTTGCTGACTACGGAACTGCCTGAACTGTTTTCCCCTCCAGTGCTCTTTTGCTCCAGCGTCTTCTCGAGTTGTTTCTCACGTGACCTCCGCTGTCATGTTTCTGTGACTCCCCAGCTGCGTGTCTGTTTCTCTTGATGCTGTCGAGTTTTTCTGGTTATTGTTGGTTTGGATAACAATGGCCTTGATGCTGTTTTCAATGCTTGAGGCTCCAGGAGCTCTTGCGTGCTTCTTCACAGGTATATTAACTTTGAGTGGATGGCATACAATTGTGAATTTATTTTCTTAATTGAGGGGTACTTTTCTATTTCTCTAAAGATTCTTGAATTTTATTTCAGAAGCATTTAATTTACTTGAAAATAGTCCAATTCATTCAAGTCTGGCTTTTAAGATGTCAGACAGAACCAGAACCAGAGCAGTGCTCAGTCCAGGGCTCAGTCCATTTCCCGTTTCCAAGACCGGGCCCTTGTCAGTCTCCAGCAGCTGGCGTTGTCTAGGCCGGGTGATGTGAGCAGGCCACGTGCCTGGCCTACCTCTGTCCTTTTCCTCACATTGCAGTAGCAGCTAGAGCTTCAGGGACCTCTGCAGATCTCGGGTTTTCTCTCTCCTTCCCACTTCTCTGTGCACAGACTCCAGGTGCTGTGGTCTCCTTAGACCCTCAGCTTCTCAACCCAGGAATGTTCCACACCCTTCCTGGGTTCCCTTTCCATGGACCAAGTGCTGGGAGCTCTCTGAAGGCATCTGCCAGAGCAGCTCCAGGGTGCACCTCATTCAATTTTTATATCTGAAGATCTCTATTCTTTGTTACTGATTTTTTGCATCTTAAAAACCATCATTTCATAGATACTGATTGCTGCTTTGTTTTCAGAAAGACAGCTCCATCCCGCTTCCTCCTCCTGGCCCAAACAGAAGTCAGCCCCTTTACTTTGCAGACTGGTATGCCTGCATTCTCAGAGGACTAATTTATCATATCTTGTTTTATATGATTCCCTAGACATTTTCTAAGTGCATGTGTGGCAAAACAAAATAGAGACTCTCCTGGTTTGTTTTCATCCGTGGAGTGAAAGTGTCATGCTCACGTGATGACTGGGTTAGGGTGAGACCACCTGAGCGGACAAATGGCATGCCTCGGGGATGGCAGAAGCACACACGGCACTGTGGCCTGGTTTCCCTCACCCGTCCACCCGCAGTGAGCAGCACCAGGGATGGTAGTTGGGGCCTCACTGACTGAACAGGGCTCTGGGCAGGCGTGGAGAGGCTGCAGTGGCTCCAGGTTTCCATCTCGGTCTTCTGGTGAATGTGCTGGTTGCATGCCTGGTAGAGATCCAGGGCAGCATGGTGACAGAGGTGACCAAGGAGGCCCAGAGTTGTGGAGGACATTGCGTCTGGTCACAGAAATCCCAAGCCACTAGCGGTTGGACTTCATGGACCTGGGACCATGGAGGAAGATCTGGTGCCGAGGCGAGGTTTGAGAGTTGAGTCCTGGGAACGCCCACCTTTAGAGATGGGGAGAACAAGTGGAGCCAGAGAAGGAAGAGGAGCCCTAGTCCCTGCAGAGGGGTCCCCAGGCCAGTGTGACACCTGGAGGAGAGATGGGAGAGGCTTCAAAGAAAGGGCTTTAACTCAGACCAGGGAGGGCTGAGATCCTCCGCCAGCGCCCTCTGCTTCCTGCAGTGGAGATAGGAACTGAGTGCCGGGGGCTGGGGCCACATCCTGAGTTCCACACAGAGTGATGTGGAGTGGATGTGGGCTGTGGAGGAGGACGTGGAGCCCAGGACTCTGCTGTTCAAGGGTTGTCTGGGTCACTGTGGTAGTGGTGGAGAAAGCCAGCGCTGGGCTCTTCCCAGGACTCGGCTAATACACCTTGAAAAAAAGATCCCTAATTTCTAGAGTTTGATTTGATTGAATTGATTCTAACACTTTCTTCATAGAAGCAACAGATATCTCATTGGCTTTATGGAGGAGACCATTTCCCACCATCTGCCCTGATCTCTCTCAATGACTTCTTTCTTCTTATTTCCTGTGCCTGAGGTAACCATATTTATGGCAAAAAACAAAGCAGAGAAAACTAAAATGAATGAGGATAATGATCAATCTCTGGCTTTTATGGGCCATTTTATAGTAAATTATATGTATTTCCAAAGTCTACCCCCTGTACACATCTGTCTATATCATATGGCTTTTCTCATGATTTTCTTTTCTTGATGCTATATTGGCAGCTTTCTTTGGTCACTCAGGAGCATGTGCATCATGATTATTTGTAAAAACACAGTGTCCAGTGGAGAAGACGCACCAGGATGTAACAGGTGCGCTCTCCTTGGAAGTCTCGGTTGTGTATCATTTCTTCCTCTCCTTAATAAAGCTGGGATGAGCATCCCATTAGGTATTTTTGTGCACTTGCCTCATTGGTTTAAGAGGAAGTCTGCTACAAGTGGGATTTCCGGAGGAAAGGAGAGGACAGGAAGCGGTCACATTAGGGAGCACTGGGGAGAGGAGGAGCAGCTTCCTCTGAGCTCCAGGGACAGGAAGTCTTACCTCTTTCTCGGCTTTCATTCCTGCTCACAGTTAGACAGGATGCTCGAGAATGGTCCCTCAGATTAAGTCAACCAACTGAGAAGCAGGATCACCCACCTTATAAAAAGTTCTCCTTCCAGGCAATTTTTATAGAAATTTCCTCTTTTGAATTTTAAGGAGTAAAAACTGCTACTGTCAGGAAGCCATATAATTCCAGATACCTGGCCTGACACCCTGCACACGGCCCCGAAGCTTCTGCCCTGACCCTACCATGTACCTTTCCTGTGGCCATCTGCGTCCTTGCTGTGGTCCTGGGGCTGGATTGGAGATGGATAAGTGTCACCTGCCACCAGTGCAGATGTTCCTGAGGGCGAGGTCTCATTTACGTCTAGAAACCTCCAGTGATGGGCAGGCTCGTCTTCTCAGCTAGCAACACGTGCGATGGAAAGTATAATGACAGCCCTGAGCCGTCTGCAGGAGCTTAAGGCCTGGCTTCATTAAAAGCTAGAATGATTAAACCACATTCAGCACCGCTTTACGGTTCAGTACACTGTAATGCTTGGAAAATGGCAATCCTTTTTTTGTCGTGTATTAGACCCCTGACACTCATGAAGGATTTGTCTCGAGACCTTTGAGACTTCCGAAATTCATGAGCATCACCCTGGCTTTCCGCTTCCCTGTAACGTGCTTTAAAGGCCAATAAAAGATACATGTGACTCTTTCAGGCTCTTTATGATTCTATAAATACAGAGCCGCAGCCATTTATAAAGCTATTAAATTCCGGCTAGACTCCTTGCTGAAGTGATTTTTCAGTCATTATTTTTCTGTTTCTCTCGAAGGCGCATGACAAACAGGTTAACATTAGAAATTCGAGCCCCGGCGGAATTCCATTTTTGTCTCTCGCTTTATCCCAAATTTCTCTTAAACCAACATGATGTCTGGCTGACTTCCGCGCTCTGTATTCTCACTGCACGGAGCAGGCCTGGCCTTGCTTTGGGGAGCTGTTTATCTTAAGAAATCAATTTTGCCTTCCTTTGAGGAAGCAACCATGTGGGATGGTGGCCTGAATCCCCCAGGACACCCTAGTGAATCTGCTAAGCTACCAACTGGACAACTGCCCCCTGTGGGATGCTCTAGAGCTACTGCAAGCAGCATGGGTGTGGCCAGGCCCAGGCAGGAGGGAGCTGTGCCTGCAAAGTTTGGTTCTGCGGTTCACTAGCCATGCTTGGAGCAGCTCTCTGCCTGTGCATACAGCGGGGGCCATTTCTGTTCTTGTGTAAATTTATTCCGTTCCCCGAGACCCTCCTCATGGCTGCTTTCACTCAGCTGAAACACGGTGTGTATCAACTCCAAGATAAAACAGCCCTGCAGATAGGTGCAGAATTATCCAGGCATAGGGTCTCTCTGAGATTCTCACTGATGATCAGCTGCTCCCAGGCATCCAGGACACAGGGGATAAGGGACATCATGGAGACAGACTGTGAACTAGACAACAAGGAACATGTCAGTGAAGGAAGGGATTGAGACAGCGTGGTGCGATGGTGGCTTGGGGCTCAATTCATGGGGTGCCGTGCACAGATGGCCCAGGTGGAGCAGGCGGGCACACAAGGAAAGAAAGAGGTGAAGTTCTAGGCCAGCGATGGCGAACCTTTTAGAACTTGTGATAATGACGCACCTCCCACCATGGCATGCTTGCCATAGGTTCGCCATCAGTGTTTCAGGAGCTTAAAAGAGAACCTTGCTTGGCCAGAAGGTGGGAGACAATGGGAAGAGACTCGAGTTGCTGGGGATGGGGCAGAGCCCCCAGAGGTAACTACTGCATATGCATTTAGTACTGCAATTATTACTGTATAATCCATGTCCCTAAGTCAGATGCTTTTGGAAAGAGAAAGCTGAATGGTACTAAAAGTCACCCAGGTACAACAGGTGTCAGCAGAACTCTCCCTGGAAGCCTGGGAGCTGTAGTCCTCTGGGCAGGGGGCTGAGTGAGCCTGCCTGGTGGCATCACATCCACCCCGGTGTTCGAGGCTCCTTCCTCCCCGCTGCAGGAGGCTCCACTGCAGGTCCTCAGCCCTCTAAGACCCATTTTCTGTCCTCTTGTCTCTCCTCCCCTGACGGGTCTTTTAGGAACACTACCGAGGAAATGCAAGAAGGAGCTTCTGGCAGTGAAACTGAGGAACCGGCCAAGCAAGCAGGAGTTGGAAGACCGGAATATTTTCCCCAGGAGGACTGATGAAGAAAGGCAGGAAATTCGGCAGCAGATTGAGCTGAAACTCTCCAAGTAAGTGGGAGTGTGCAGCCTCAGTCAGAAACCCTGCCTGCCCCTGGGGCTGGGTGGGAGGTGCAGCTGGGCTCTCAGCCCTGCATAGAGCATGCGACACGATGGTGGGGGCTTTGCAACACACTTGGGCTCTACTTGTTGTCTCCTGTGACTGTTAAAAACTGTCCTGGATTCACAAGATGTCCTCTGGGAGGGAAATCCCAGCCACAGATGCGTGAGGAGCTGCGGGGTCACAGCTAGAAGGCCTGGGACGTGCTGGTTGGAACGTGCTGGCCAGGGCTGAGGATGGGGAGTGGCCCCCATTTGCCTCCATCCAATGGCTTTCTCGCAAGAATGTCCATGTGGTGTGGCTTGATCTTGTAAACTTTTTCAAGGAAAGCCACACTCCCGCGTACTCGCGGGTATACACACACACTTCTGGGGACAGCGCGTCCATGAGGTCAGACATCTGGTTGTGGTACAGAGCTGTGAGCGGGCACCTTCGCTGTCCTCCTCCCACCCCCAGTGATCCCTGTGGGTGGAGGCGGCTGTGATGGGGCAGAGCTCCAGGCTGATCACTGCTGGCACCTGGGTCAGGGGACTGTGGCTTGCGGGAGTGTGCTGTGGCCCAGTCCTTGTCCACAGATACCTTCTCATGGTCCAGACCTGGAGAGCCCATAGTGATGGGCGCTTCCAGGAAAGCAAGGCCCAAGCTAGGGCCCATTGTCAGCCATGCTTGTTGTTTGAGCTGCAGGGTGGGAAAGTATGGAGCATGTGGTCCTGATGTGGCATTTGGTATCTCCCCCTCCTATCCCTGCTTCCTCTTAATGGCTGCCAGCCTGGCCCCACAGAGCTTGACTTGGGGGATAGCACCCTGGACCCCCTCATCTGCCTCTCCTCAGATGAGCCCCAGAGCCAGCAGAGACGAGGGGCTGCCCAGCTGGTGTCTCTGTCTCTGTCAGCACTTCTCACGTCCCCTGTCAATGGGACTCGGGAGACACTGGGGTGCAGGTCCTGGGGCCGCAGGCCAAAGTGAGGCCTGGGGGTCTGTGATCCCAACAAGCTCCCGGCTCACGCTGCAGGGCAGTGGACCGAACTTCCAGCAGAGCAGCAGGATCTCACCCAGGGTTCCCAGCTGTGGCTCCCTGAAGGGGAGACCCCACTCACCGAATACCAGAAGGCCAACCCCACCCGTGATCACCGAAAACAAATCCAGACAGAGCCTGGTATCCCGTGGGGTCATCTCGGGCTCCTTCCCAGGGCAGGTCCTCCCCAGCCCAGGGCCAGGCCACTCTTTTTGGGCAAGCCCTTGTTTCTGCTCTACCTGTGGACCTGGGACCCCAGGGTTCCCATCTGCTGCAGGATTCTCTCTGCACTTCATGAGGGAGGGCGGGAATGTGGGTGGGTAGGGCCCAGGCACCAGCTGCTGTGACTGCCACACAACTTCAAGGGCCTGTGTTTCTCAGGGGCTCAGCTGTCCTATCTGGAAAGATGAAATGAGGTGACATGCCTACTCACTGCTGAGGGGCTGCCTAGTGTGGTCCACGCCCCCTGCAGCTATTGAGAGGTCTCACTCCTTGGCCTGAGCCAGAGCACAGTGGGCTTGGAGCCACCCAACCCTGGCTTAGAACCCAAGCTCTGCACCGACTCGGGCACGGGCATCTACCCCATCCACCTCAGTTCTCTATTAAGTGGGTGCTGACGATTTTGAGGCCTTTGGGAGCAGGCACGTGGTGTAGCCTTGCCAGGTAGCAGGTGCTCAGGAAATCTGGGTGAGTGGTGTGTGAAGCCTGGGATGTGGTCTCCCAGCCTTCTTCCTGCACTGGTCCTAATGTGCATGCCAAGGTGGCCCAGGCACAGATCCGCAGTTGTGATGTCTGGTGACAGTGGCTCCCAGACCTGAGGAGAGGTTAGATATGGGGGCTGCTACCCAGCCCTAGGAGGTGGCTTCTCCCAGTAGGACCCAGGTGTACATTTGTGAATTCTGTGCTTGCCAGGCGGGCACTTGCCGCTGAGCTAAATCTGAGCATCTTTTTTTTCTTTTGACATACCAAAGTTTTGATGGTTGAGGTTGTTGGATGACAGCTGTGTGCATCAGGAGTCCGCTGGTTTTAAAGGACCAGTGCTGAATTTCTCCAGATTTGTGAGCCTCACTGTCTGTCAAACATACGCAGTTGAGGCACTAAAGACACTCTGCAAATGAACAGGCATGGCTGGGTATCAATAAAACCTTCTTGCAACAATTGCAAGCGGTCCTCGGAACAGTGTTCTGAGTACTGCTATGTGTTAGGTCTCATAGGACTTGCACCTGAGTCTGGGACAGAATACCCAACACCCACAGTTTACAGGAGGAGGCGTTTATTTTTGTTCACGGTTTCAGAAGATTCAGTTTGTGATTAGTTGGTGCCAAGGCAGGACCAGCATTACAGGAAGGTCTGGTGAAAGAGAGCTGCTCACCCCATGGTGGCCAGGAAGCAGAATGTAGGGAGGAGCCAGGGACAAGAGCCCATCTTTCAGGTCAGTTACCCACTGACCCACGTCTTCCAGCCAGGCCCCGCCTCCTCACAGTACATCAGCCCCAAACTCGCCAGTGGACTGATCCGTGGATCAGCACAGCACCTCCAGGACCTACTCACTCTGAACACATGACACTTTGGGGGACATCTGAGATCTAAACCGGAGTAGCACCATTTTTAAAAAGTCTTTCCTAGGCTGCAGGTCAACGTGCTTCTATTTGCCGTCACCTTATTTGCATTTGCCTCTAACTGTGCCAGCATAAAGTGTTTGTTCATCACCAAACAGTTCTCTTTCAAACTGAAATATCAGTGAACAAACACAAAGAAGGTAGGTAAAGGATGGCCACACCTGGAGCTCAGAAGTACCGCAAAGCCTTCACGATGACGCTGGAAACACGGGAGGTCTGGGGGCCATCCCAGGCTGTGGCTCCACAGGGAGGAGTCGGGCTGCCGGAGGAGACCCAGAGGCAGAGAACCACGCACGAGGCTTGCCGTGTCACTCCACACCTGTAACTAACCTCACACTCGGGCTGGGCTATGTAGCTCCCTGTTTGCCTTCATGTTTAAAAACTGAAAAGCAGCTCCAGAGTTAGACACAGAGAAGCCAGCAGCCGAGAAGTCGCCTCCCTCTTGAGAGGGCAGATGTGGCCCCAGGGCGGGGCACCACGTGTTTTCCCCACAGGGATGGTTTCATTGAGTCTCTGTCTGTGCTTTGCCTCCCTTCAGATACTCTTCCGCCATCTCTTACTGAATAATTCAGCTTCTGGTTTCCATAGCAACATGCCACTTAACCATATCCTGAAAAGCATTTGCATTTTATTTTAAATTTACAGACCCATAAAATTTTGTTTTCCTAGTGTTCTTGAGTTTTTCTGGGTGAACAGTCACTACCCCCAACACCCACCCCAGGCCCCATGACAGAGCTCCATGCGCTTGGTCTGTGCACTGCAGCGAGGTGGGGGTGAGTGTCCCCCTTTCTGCACAAGGGCTCCCGCTTGCCTTTTAGGTACACACAAGAGAACAACAGAGCCTCGGGGACCTGCAGGGTCCCCAGAAGTTGCACATCATGCCACCTTAGTCTTAAGGCCACCAGTGAGAGCCACTGACCACTGTCCTTCTTCAGTGCTGACCACATGCTCCATTTAGACCATCCTTTCAGGGACCCAGTCATGTAGGAGTCTCCATCATCTCTGTTGTAGAGATGAGAAAGTTGAATTGCAATGAGAGTCTGAAAGTGCGTTGCAGCCGCTTAGAGGGAGTCTGCGGGCCCAGAAGGTGGGACAGCCTCAGAAGTACTACAAAGCTGTCATGATGGTGCTGGAAACACGAGAGATCTCCGGGCCATCCCCGGCTGTGGCTCCACAGGGAGGAGTCGGGCTGCCGGAGGAGGTCCAGGTGGGCAGCTTGACCCGCACCCCTCCCGGTCTCAGCGTGTGTCTTGGGAGTCTGTCCTGGTCTGTGAACAGGAATGGTGCCTGCTGCTTCTTGGCCTTTTGAGGGCTCCAGACGAGTTCCTCTGAGAAGGCAGTGGGACACTGGGAGCTGCTGGAGCTGCCCTTATGGCCAGGCTCACCTGCCCAGGACAGGAAGGTCCCCAGTAGGTCTCAGGAGAATCATAGGAGACTGTTGAACGGGATGGTGGCTGCAGGGCCAGAGATGCCGGTAGTTCAGGTGGCTGCAAAGCTTTGCTGTGATACCCTGGGAGATGTTCCCGTCCTGTGTGTGCTTTGCCTGGAGACCTGATGCTGGACAGGTGCCTCCTGAATGATGCTCAGACCTCCCATTGGCACTCTCTTGGGGAGTCTTTGTTCTGGGGCTGTGTGAGAGAATCTGATTAAGCCTCCATAGCATCCTCCAGGAATGGACATTTGGCATGTTAACACAGCCGTTAACTGATCTTCCGGCTCTGGTACATTCCATTCTGCTGTACCTAGAGCAGCATGGAACAGAACATAGACCCCAGGGGAAAAGACTCTGTCCTGCTGCACGCTCCTGACCACCCCTGCCCCTGCCCCTGCCCCTGCCACGTGCTCCTTGAGACCCCAGGGCCTTTAGGAGGGTCCTTGATGCTCTGATGTGGCAGCATGCAGACTGGCCAGAGCTGCACCTGACTGCTGGACCCAGGCTGTTAAGGTGCCGTCCTCTTCCTGCGGACTCTGGAGGAGATCGGGCCCTGCACAGTTCCTCAGAACTGTGGACATAGCGCTTTCAAAGGTCCGTTATTTCTGGGCTTAGGGAAATAGTGGACTCCTTTTCAAAAGCAGGCCAGTTGTTTCTAAAGAGTGGAAGTCTCACTGCAGGGTGGAGGTTTGGTTAAGACCAGGTGGCACCGGCTGCGGGCCCCTTCCCCCTCCTGCTGACCTGCACTGTGGGTGGGAGCCCAGCGCAGTCTGGGTGACCTGAGCACAGTCCTGTGCACATCACAATAGGGAGCAGACACAGTTACTGGCACAGCATCGTCCAGGTAGCCCTGTGGGGTGCTTCCTGCACAGTACATCCCTGAGG